AGTTTGTGGTTACACTTGACCACTTTCTAGTGTGACGGTATTGGTGTGTCAGCACCGTTCGCACTAAACTCGAGGATTTGTTCGATTACCCGAGTAGAGTTGAGAGGTGATGTGGAAGGACTTCAACTGGCATGAGATCTTGGACACTGACGCGTGAGGGTGGAATTGGATTCTCGGTGCATTGGGAAGCAGTTTGCAGACGAAAGAAGGAGGGCGGGTTTGGTTTAAGGAAAGCTTGTGAACTTAATTTAGCTTTCTTGGCTACACTTGCAATTCTTTTTATGAAAAACCCGGAGGAGTTATGGGCGCAGGTACTTCAGGCGAAATACTTCAAAATGGTGACGAACATATGGTGGCAAAAGCTGCCGCTCGGTCTTCTACTTTATGGAGAGGGATTCGCAAGGCCTGGCCTGTCATGTCGGCATGGATGCTCATGAGCGTCAAGGATGGTCAAACCACATCCTTTTGGACCGATTGGTGGATTGACAATGGGGAGCGCCTTGTTGATCACATCCTGGAGGACGCGCCACAATCAATCCTCAAAGTGCGATGGCAGATTTCGTTACTTCTTTGGGCGAGTGGGGCATCCCTCTTATGTGTCCTTTACTCCTTGAAGAATTGATTTTGCAGGTAGAAGGAGTTCAGCCTCCTATTGAAGGCTCGGGGATGGACATGGCCTCGTGCGGTCCAAAGTTGGATGACCACTTTCGGGTTTGGTCGGCCTACGACCTTGCAGTCAACCACGAGCAGCTTGAGAGAGTTCGATTGGCGGATCATTTGGAAACTGCTTCTTAGTAGCAACGCGATTACTGATCGTATCCAAGCCTTTAGTGTAGGCTCGATTGGGAGGTTGTTTTCTTACTATGTCTATAGGGAGGGTAATAAGTGTGTCAACTATCTTGCTAGTCATGAACATTATTTGCTGCTGGTTTTCCATTCTTTTCTTGTAAGCGATCCTACATTGATGTTCGGAGGATTTCTGAACCCTTTCTAGTAATGAATGAAAGTTAGGATGCTCCATATCAATTTATAAAACAAACCTAGAGGTGTCAATTGGGCGGGTTGGGTCGGGTTCGGATTGGGTCTAAATGGGTTGGGTTCAATCGGGTCGGCTTCAATTTGGATCGGGTTTAATTGGGTTGCAGGTCAATTGGGTTACGAGTCAATCAGGTCATTGGTCAATTGGGTTACGAATCAGGTCGGGTTACGGGTGCATCAAATTACGGGTTTATTGGATTGCGGGTTAATTCGGGTTCGGGCAGGTCGGATTATGGGTTATTCGGGTCAACCCATTGGATCATTTACTTCTTGACAGAAAATAATGTTTTACAAACTATCAATATATCTATCTATCTATCTATCTATACATAATATTATGGCAATTCAAAATTAAATTTTTGCCACATAAGCACTTGGAGAGATCTCAAGTGGACAAGGTGGACAACTTTTTTACCAAAAAAAATAGTTATTGACCTATTTATGGAATTGTCTCTCTCTCCATTTAATACTTAATTCTCTTTTATCCCATAATTATTTTTCTTTTGTTTTTGCATTATATCTATAAATAATATATGGAGAGAAAGGTTATCAAATCGGTTTAGCAAGTGGAATGGTTTTACCAGTGGTACAACCGGTTTAATCATTCATATCAAATGAATTTAATTCTATATAAACCATATTTGAAGACAATTTACGTACAATTCATATTGATATTTGAATAAAATATGATATTTCAAATAAAATTACATGTACTCATACTTAAATTCACTAAAACTACGTATTATACTTAGAAATTCGTAAAACGATAATATCGGTCATACCGATGGTGTCATGTCGATTTCATGACCGGTACCGGTTGAATTGTTCAACCGGTGGCATGCCGACCGACGTGACAATCATGATGGAGAGTGACATATATTACATTTTGTTTTTGCATTATATCGATGTACGCAACAGTATACTAATGTATGTAGAGTGGCATATATATCACACTTTTAAACAAAAAAATATATGATTAAAGATTACTATGTAAATTTTTGCTCATGTTTACTAAAACTTAATAATAATTTACATTTTAATGAATAATGTAAACAAACACATAAAATAATAATATTATATCGATAAGGTCTGAAAGAAACTTGACCAAGAAATAATAGTTATTTATTAAAAAGGCTTCTTATTCATTCTGATCAAGTGAAAACATATGAATCGCATGTGCAGTATTTATAATGTATACTAAGTTCACATTACTAATATTTTCTCTAAGTCATGTTGATTGAGCAAGCTCTATTGAACTTATTTATTGTTAAAGATTATAAATTGAAGTTTCCAAAATGACTTGAGTATAATAGTTGATGAACTTTGATGTCATATTCTAGGATGAGACACGAGATCCCTTGAAAAATGAAAATGTGTGAAATTTAGAGAAATCTTTGTTAAGGATGTACGTTAAACATCACATTCATGTTAAGAAAAATCTAAATTCGATGATTGAGGTAATAAATAAACATTAATGTTTTACTTCACATATATAACAAAAAAATTATAGTTACAATAGTGTAAACCGAGCTATTGGGTAAAAAGAAGAATATTTAATAAATATGAGTTTAGTAAGAAAATTGTGACAAGCCTATATAGTTATGAGCCTGGGATTTCGTACCAAAATTTGGCAATAACAAAAAAATTGATATGATATTTCACCCAAGGAGTTGAGTTCAAAGGTATTAATTAGTGTTGAAAGTAAAATAAACTCTCTGTATATATATGTTTAGATATTAACAATAGATATGTCTACTATACATCCAATAATTTAAATACATGTGAAAAGCCACAATGTTTGTATGAACTTTTGAATTTTGCTACAAAATATATTTTTTACAAATTATAAGTTAATTATTCAAGGAATACATAATTTTGAATGCACCTGAAATATTTTTCTGTCGTATACACACTTTACCAATTATTAATATAAGTAACAAAATTTTTGTTCTAGAACAAACATCAAATATAAAGAAATTTTAGCGAATGGACATTCAAATAGTTGAAAACTTATACATTGAAGGAACATGTTAAGATGAGAACCTTTGATAGTGTATATGAATGCCTTGGATTCAGATTCTAAACGAACATCTAGACAAAAGGCATGGGGTGAAGGTTAGTCCAAACTTAAAATATTAGCAATTGATTTATATTGTAAGATAATAATAATTTGTATCTTGATAGAAAAATTGCCATAAGTTGCTATACAAAGACTTCATGAACATCAACAATAAAATGAGTGAGGTTTAGAGAATTTAATCATTATAAGGGATACGATGTGTGTCAAATTTTAATTGGGATAAACATAATTTATCCAGTAATCAAGTATCTTTTTTCATTATTTTGAACTCTGATTAATTGGCTGAGAGTTCGTAGAAACTCGAGAATCATGAATTGATATTTGTTGTATAAGATAATAAATTTGAGCGTCTTGGTGGAAAGTTTTTTATATACGATCTTAAATGGGACGTGATAAATCTTTACGACATGATTTATGATCAGAGAATTAAAACATCACAAGCGAGTGTGCTAACTATTAAATATTAAGAATTTTCGATATAGGCATACCACATATTCACTTATGAAGCGAGAGCAGAAAATGTATACAAGATCCAAAAAATTCAAACATGTAGATAAGTTAACTAATATAAATAATAAAATGAACTTTTCCGGCCAACTGGCCGGGTAAAAAACTAGTGAATATAAATTGTAGGTAATGATAAAAAATTTAAGAAAATGATAATATGATAATATTTACACATAAAAATTAAATATCCATTATGTTAGTATAAAAACTAAATATAAATAAAATAGTGTATATAAAAGCTTTGTTGTTGGTTATAAATTTTTTGTTATGGTGAGAGATTGTCACTTCACTTATTTTATTAATTTATAAAAAAATTGTATCAGTAAAAATTTGAGAATGAAGTAAAAAAGGTAGACTATATGCTTATACATCTCAAAATGAATCGTCTTAATTAAATATAGTATGAACTAGATGTATGTCTCTTCATTTTCACGAAGACTTATGAACATCATTCCGAATCACCCACTTATATATCTTCACAATTTTTTATATATTCACGGTAACATCTCATCCTAAACTCATGGTTCGAACAACGGTTCGCTCAAATATGATATTATCATCTAGTTTGAATCGTCAATTTATTAATTTATAATAAATAAATAAAATCAGTAAAAAGTTGAGAATGAAGTAAAAAGGTAAACTATCCACTTATATATCTTGATAGGAATCATTGATTTCATTGATTTTGGGGATTCCATTGATTTTCAAGGGTTGATTTTTTTAATATAGTTATGGGTGGTGAAGATACGAATTTGTGTCTAACTCTTCCTATTATATTAAAAAATTTATCCTTTGAATTTCATAAAAATAAAAAATGAATGAAAAGATATTTCACATATTATTATTTTAAAAATTAAATATTTAAGAAAAAACCTCAATTTATACCATCAATTATACAAATAATTTTCAATTATTACGAGAACAACAGTTCTTTCTTGATAAATATAAAAATATAATAATGTATACGTTGAATTTTTGTACAGGCATTCGGGTCAAATGGATTATTCGGGTTATTCGAGTTGGGTTTGGTTCGAGTATATTTGGGTTATGAATCATTCGGGTATAGATGGGTCGGATTATGGGTTGGATCGGATAACGAGCTCATCGAGTTATGGGTTGATCGGATTATTGGTCAATTGATTTCGAGTTACGGGCGGGCTTCAGATGGTTGACTTTTTGTCAAATCGGGTTATGGATGGGTTGTAGGTCGAGGGGGTTGGACGAGTTTATCGGGTCGGGTTCAATTTTGACAGCCCTACAAACCGCTCTCCAAAATTTTAATTTATTTTTGCAGTAATTTTTCAGAATGCGCTAACATTAACAACTAACAAACACGCCCTCCGGCCTCCACTAAAGGAGAAGCATTTTCCCATATTCCCCTTTTTTTTCTTCTTCTCAAAATCCGGATTTGGATTTATTCGATACGGACTACAGAGTTTCAGTTCTTCCATCCCTCTCTCGTTTCTCGCTTGGCTTCTTCGACTCTCTCTCTCTCTCACTCTGTATCTCCGTTCCCGAAACGCAGCAACGCGCAACGGGGGACTACAGGTACGGTCTTTTCCCCCGCGAATTTTCTTCCCTTTGCTTTCGTTGTGGAAGAGTCTACGAGAATTCCGCGAAAATCCGGAAGCAGTCGGTATCCGTTCCGATTTGTGTTCCTTCATTGTTTCGTTCCCCTGCTGAATTCTGTATTGATCTCTGTTTGCCTTCTAGAGATCGTCGGTAATTTCTAGCTTCCCAATTTCTAGTTTATCGTGGGGAAAGAGGGTGGGGATCGAATTATGGTGTTTGAAACATCGAATTCATGCTCGTCTTGTGGAATGCTTTACGTCGTTGTTTGTATAAATGTCGTGGATGAATGGCACCCTTGCTTTTGAATTTGTGATGAAGAGAAAGAGAAATGTTTTTTTCGCACCACATTGTGAAGGGTGATATGCCCGGGCCTGTGAAGAGCAAGTTGGACATTGGCTAGGGTGCCCTGCTAATTGCTTGTTTCGTTGGTCGTATTGTATTCGGTTTAGCATTAACCAGTTAGATTAACATATAGGTTTTAGAATGATTCTACAGCATATGCTTGAGCTAGAGTTGAGGCTTGCTTGTGTCAGCAGTTGGATAGTTGGAACGTTGCTCGATGGGTGCACCTGAACTTTAAAATCAAGTACTTGAGGTTTTTTTGCAGCGTAGCCTGATCGATACAGTAGGAATATCAATCAGTTAAGTAGGGCACGCCCAGATGCTGATTAATTCATATCATTGGTTGTGATGATTGTGCTGTATTACCATATTTCAATTCAGTATCTATGTGTTTTGTGTACCCTGACTCTGAAATGTCTTTTATTGCATTTTCACACTTCTCTCTTTTATTTCTCTTCCATTGTTCTCTGTTTTGGCTCTAGAAATGGAACTGTCTAGTGCAAGAGATGCATTTGATCGTGTCGCCAAGAAGCAGAAGTTATCCTCATCAAAGTCCCAGGAAGTAATTGATCAAGTCAGCCACGAGATTGAGTTAGCACTAGAGAAAATCCAATCAGTTGACCATCTGATTCCTCCAGATGATCAGAAAGCCATCCTCAGGCAGCTAAAGCACAAACTCGACACAATGAGTCCGCTGATCCAACTAGAAGGTCCACAGAAGGATGTGAATGGGACCCTTGCAAAGTACCCGAAGCTTTTAGACAAGTCACTGAATGCTGGCATATCCAAGGCATACAGAAGTGTTGATTTTGATTTCCATATAGTGAATCAGATAATAGCTTGCCATTTCTACCGGCAAGGATTGTTTGATCTTGGGGATTGTCTAATACGGGAGGCTGGAAAACCAGAGGCGATTTCCTTGAAGTCTCAGTTTATGGAACTGGGTAAGATACTGGATGCCATCAAGGCTAGAAACATTGAGCCTGCTCTGATTTGGGTCTCGAAAAACCTTGAGAAACTTCGGCAGTTTGGATCGAAGCTTGATCTGAAGCTGCATAGCATGCAGTTTATGGAGATCCTTAAGGGAGGAGGTCGGGTTGATACCCTTAACGCACTCAACTATGCGAAAACCCACCTTTCTCCTCTCTCTGGGGTTTACATGAAAGAGTTCCAAAAGATCACTGTCTGTCTGCTCTGGAGCGGAAAGCTGGAAAGATATCCCTACTCCGAGCTATTGGGTCTGACCCATTGGGAAGGTTTAGGTGATGAGCTGAGCCGTGATTTCCACAAGCTTCTGGGACAGTCCTATAATAGAGACCCCTTGTGTGTAACTATCGCAGCTGGTATTGAAGGACTACCTACTCTGCTGAAGCTGGCGAATGTAATGTCTGCAAAGAAGCAGGAATGGCAAGCATTGAAGCAGTTGCCAGTGCCGGTGGATCTACCTGAGGAGTTCCAGTTCCATTCAATATTCGTTTGCCCCGTTAGCAGAGACCAGAGCAGTGAAGAAAATCCACCAATGCTGATGCCATGCATGCATGTGCTCTGCAAACAGTCTATAATGAAGCTGTCTAAAAGCAGCTCCAGGTCATTTAAATGCCCCAACTGTCCAGCTGAAGCTTCATTTGACCAATGCAGGCAGTTGTTTTTCTAGTGAGCTTCTTCTTTGTGGAGCAAGCTCCGGTAAAATAAACTATTTTTTTTCTTATTCTTCTGGTTTCTCCTGCTTTCTGCTGTATATAAGCATTCTTGACAAATCTGCCCGGATTGCGAATCTATATTATACACACCATCGTATCTTCCGTTGGGAAGATGTTTGTGTTGATCCAAGTCTGGCACAGTCTCCATTAAGTTTTTCTTTTCTTGGTAGATTTGAATTGTCAAATGAAGCTCTATGGCTGGCTAACTGCAGTTAAAAGGTGCTGCGTCTGTATATTGTTGTTAGGATCTGTTTGGTTTGAGTTGTTCATAACTGGTGCCATGCCATGTGAAATAAGTAAACGCAAATACCCTTTAGCAAGCAAAAGCATGAGTTTCAGAATGAGAAGATGACTCAATACAGGCCATGGAAGGCGGGAAACAAACAGAGAAGATGACGGAATCGGAAGGTCACCGTCCTGGAACAGGAGAGTTTAATCATGTACATGTCCGATTGCTCCTAACTGAAAAAGCTGTCCAGAGGAACTTTTCCTCAAAGCTACAGATAGATTCCACTAACAATGGTAACTGTTTCTCCTCTTCTTCTATTCGCTTCTTGCCCGATTGCCTGTCGTGTTCCCTGCGGCAACCCACAACGACAACGACGAAGGAAAGTCTCGTAATAGACAGACAGGTAGTCCCTCCAACTGTGTAAACTCATAACTTCACTCCTTGTTTCTCTTCTTGATGCATGCGTCTCTCACAGATCAAACCAAACCAAACTAAGACAACATACATTATTCTCCAGCTAAACGATCATGGAATTTGCTGCTGTCTGCAATCCATATGGAAAAGAAGCAGTCTGTTACTTGGAGGTATTGGAAGCATGTTCCCTTAATTTATAACTGCAACCAAACCTTCCCACATTGGAGAATGAATTCTACAGCCATCGGAAACAACAAGGAATACAAATGACAGATCCATACAATTCTTATGCAAAGTGAAATTTGACGTACTCAAGATGTCTACCGACACCACAAGGCAATGAATTATTGAGTGCATAGTTGAGGCATCACTAAAAAAGCTGCAGTCTTTCAAAACTTAATACAAGACAGTCCAAACCCACTTGAACCAATCTGCAGAAGCAGAGCATCTACGACCGCGATCTTCTCAACGGAAGCCAAAAAAATGTGGTAGCAAATCCTACTCCACCTAGTCCTATTCGCCATTGTTACTCAAGTACAATTACAAATCAAGGTGTTACCTGAAAACAGCATTCTGTGCCTGCTTATTCTGTAGCGAATCCCATCAACCTCCTCAACCCGGGAAAGAAAGCAGAAGATAACTCAGAACTCGAATCCTTCTGTTCCTGTATGTGCTCTTCAATCAATTCCTTAACACACCTAGCAGATAAAGGGTGGAAATTGGCACCCCACACATCCACGAACCCTTTAACCAGTACCATCTTATCCTCCGATTCCATTTCGCTCCACGTCTTTTTCACCTTGTCTTCTTCCAAATCCAAGAACTTGCAGAGCTCGCAGAAGAGCAATTCCCTGCTCTTCTTCATTGCCTCCTCTTTCTGGGCCATATTGGTGTTTATCCTCGACACTTGCATCGCAAAATCTGAGGCAAGATTGGAATCGCCACCGCTGCTTTTGTTCCTGGTGCAGAGGATTTGGGTTCTGGGCCTGCTGTTGTAGGGTAAGTGGTTACCGCTGGGAAGGGGCCAAGCTTGGAGCTTTACTTGTTGGAGGAGTGGGTTTGGACGACATTGATGGATTCTCAAGGCCATACTGAAGAATAGGGTGGAACTCGCTGAGTGAGAATTTCAGACTTTGAGTTGAGAGTTTTGGAAGGCTTTTCCTAAATTCCCACCGCACGCGTGGCTTTATTAGGGATTATCTTTTTTCCCCCTTTTCATTAAAATAAAATGGTCGAAATAATAATGGATCCTGCGGAGAGTTCACAGATGGTGGATCCAAATCAACAATGCAACCAAAGCTTCTTCAACCCCTTCCGTATTTAGTCTTCATCTCCATCCTCCTCCTCTATCTGTACTCTTTTGCTCTCAGTCCTTACTCGTTGCCATCTTCTGCTTCCAACTCCGCTTCGCATCTTTCATCATCGCAATCCTGCAATCTCTTCAACGGGAGCTGGGTTCTGCCCTCCGACCGCCCGAGACCTTTCTACGATGACTCCTGCCCTTTCCACAGAAACGCCTGGAACTGCATTAAGAACAACCGAGAGAACATGGATCTCATCAGTTCCTGGCAATGGGTGCCTCAAGATTGCGAATTGCCTCGGATCGATCCGGAGAGGTTTCTGGGTTTCATGAGGAATAAGAAAATCGGGTTTATTGGGGATTCGTTGAATGAGAACTTTCTGGTCTCATTTCTGTGTATTCTTAGAGTGGCTGATAATGGAGCTAGGAAGTGGAAGAAGAAGGGGGCATGGCGCGGTGCCTATTTCCCCAAGTTCAACGTCGTTGTTGCCTATCACCGTTCAGTGCTGCTTGCTAAATATAAGTGAGTTCCCACTTCCTTTTGCATTTGGTTCTGAGTTTCCTGAGAACTGCTGCTGTGTTGCCTTTTTGCTTGTCTAGGTTCACGATGCTAGTTTGGACACTACAGTGCAATTTTTACAGTCAGAAAAAATTCCAGATGGCAAACACTTCTTCTTGTGAAGTAATTTGCACCAATTTGGGGTATTTAGCGTGTGGTACATGTAGGCAAACCATTAGAAAGGAGAAACTTCCCAGTTTTGCTGCATGATCAACCTATTGGTTCGCTGATGCCACTGTTCAACTTCATTACATTATATCTGGTGGAGTGAACGAATGATGCAACTGATTGATTTAACGGTTGAAGCAGTGGGAGGTAAACTCATGTCGATATTATTTAGGCGCTCAGCAGCATTAATACGAAGAGAAGCATATTGGTTTGAGAATGGAGGGATTGAAAGTTATTGGCTTAGTGAACAAGTTACTTGTCTCACACATAGACTTCGGACAATGTGGTGGTGTAGTAATTACCAGTGCCCTCATTCTTCAGTGAAATTGTTACCTATCTCTACTGGTGTTCGTTTTCACTGGTTTTCTATCTTGAAATGATTTAGATTGGACAAATGGGAGCAGTTTGTGTTTTTTCTTTAAGCCATCCCCATTTGTAGCAGTTCGTGTTCAGTTGCCCCTGTGTACTGAGCTTTGCAAAATTTGATGTCATCACTTGCTCATATCTGATCCATTTAAGGTGGCAGCCAAAAGGGTATGCATCTGACCAATGAGGGAGTGAAGGGAACTCATCGAGTAGACATTGATGTACCCGGGGACGAGTGGGCCAACATTACTAGCTTTTATGACGTCCTCATTTTCAACACAGGACATTGGTAATTCCTTCACTCTTGACTGGAATTCACAAACATATTAGCGATGCAATGGTAGTATCTCTTTGTATTGCTTTAGGTGCCCCTCCCATATTTTTGTATGTTCCTGGAGTTCTTTTTCCTTCTTATTCACGTCCTGGCGCTCATTGATGTATCAAAGGAACACTTTTGTTAGAATGCATATCTAATACTGAAGACATAAATTTGTTCAAATTGAACTGTTTTTTTCTTAACAAGGTCAACAATGTGGTGATACTACTCTTTGGCCTACCTGGACTTTGTGCAGGTGGAGTTATGCTAAATTCCCAAAGGAGGCACCTCTTGTTTTTTACCGTGGAGGGCAACCAGTGTATCCCCCTCTTGGGTTGGTTGACGGGCTGAAGATTGTTCTCGAGAACATGGTTTCGTATATTGAACAACAAGTTCCAAAGAAGACGGTCAAGTTTTGGCGCCTACAATCGCCGAGGCATTTTTATGGCGGTGAATGGAATCAGAATGGAAGTTGCTTGTTCACCAAACCCCTCAGGGAGAATGAGGTTATACCATTAATTAATGTGCTATATCCCTCCATGAAATTGTTAGCTTGAAACCATACTTATGCTCATCATTACGTGTAAAAGAAAAATGATGCTCATCTTTGTTATCTCCTTGTTTGATACGGTTTTTGCAGCTTGATACTTGGTTTAACCCCGAAAGGAATGGAGTGAACCGGGAAGCAAGACAAATCAATCGGGTAATCGAGGATACACTGGAAGGCAGGGACATAAAGTTGCTGGATTTGACACATCTGAGTGAGTTCCGAGCGGATGCCCACCCAGCGATTTGGCTTGGGAAGAAAGACGCTGTGGCAGTTTGGGGTCAGGACTGCATGCATTGGTGTCTGCCTGGCGTCCCAGACACTTGGGTCGATATACTGTCGAAGCTGATCTATGATAATCTGGAACCAGCAGTTGGATGAAAGAAACTCTTGTGGAGATATGTCATTCAATTTTGTAGGTAGGTCCTTCACACCCCGGCACATTGATTGCACCAACGAGAGCTCTCAATATTTTTCATGGTGCTGTTACGAAAGCTTGAATTTCAATGAGGAATCAGGCAAATCATATTCGACATAGACGGATATAAATCATATGCATCAGAGTTATTCAGCGAATTTGTTGATTCGGGTTTCCTCATGTTGTCTTTCGGATATGTTTGTAATTTCTGGAACTGTTTCATTTGGTAGATGTTTTTTCGAGGGACCTCATTGTGCATTGCTACTACATAATTCAATCTCTTTCCTCTATTAAATTTGTAAAAAGTGTCTAGCCTGAACAATCACCAGCCATACCCGTATACCAAGCTTGTCCAGAAATCATATCCAACATCAATATTGGTTACCGTTATTGACTTATTGGTATAATATGCCTCTCTATTATGACGTTTTGTCAAACATACCCTTCTACTATTTTTTACATCAAACATGCTCCTGCTCTATTGAAATTTTCATTGAAAAATCGTCAATCATGGTTGAACCGAGATTTAGAAGACCAGACATCGACAAATGGGAGGGACCATGTAAGTTTTGAACCCTGTTTTATTTTTCTGGGTCTCGTCAAAGTGAAATTACTAGAATTATTTGGCTATACAAAAGAACCAAAAAAATCTAAAGTGAAATTATTATGAATATTTTAGACATTTGTGTTGCCCAAACCAAAATTTGGTCGTGGTTAACGATTTTTGGATGAAAATTTCAACAGAAGGACATGTTTGATAATTTTTCTAAAATATAGGAGTATGTTTGATGTAAGAAATAGTAGAGAGGCATG